ACACTCGACTTAGTCTTAGCACAATCTTGACCTTGCCACGCGTACACTCTCTCGATAGAATTGTTGGCTTTTTATAGAGTTCTGAGCTTAAAGAGGAGAGCAGCACGCACTTTATTCAAGTACTCATTTGCAAATAAATTTTCAGGTTGTTTTCTCTTTACAGCCACCAGAGTACGGTTTCTAGCTTCCTTTGAGACAAAGGTCGCCCGTAAATGTTAGGTTTCCTTCCCTATGACGTCCACGGCCTCGATGTCAGCGGCTCGAAGAGTTCCATTATCGTACTCGTTCATCTTGTCTACAAATTTCTGCTTGAGACGTTCGGGGTTTCTAACTGCATCAACATTGTTCCCAGCAGTGGAGACGGACAAAGATTCGATGATTGACAGGACAGCACTACCTTGGCAAGCCATTACTTTCACAAGCGAGTCCTGCTCAACGGAGTCCAGGCGCTTTTCAAGGCGCAGCATGCTGTGGCCAACAGAATTTACATCAGCATTACTTGGCATACATAAAACATTACCTAGGATAGCAGAGCGGCGCCTGCAGTACCAGACAGACACATCAGGTGAAGAAATGCCCCGCGAAACCACTTCAGAGTAGCTCGGCAAGGAAGCCTGCTTGTCAAGGAGATGGTCGAGGTCTCATTTAAGTTTAGTGTTCATAGCGACTAGGTTATCAATGCTTCTCAACATTCTAACATTTAGAGAATAGATAGCGTCAATGACTTTTATTACCTTGTCCAGACTCTGAGCATTTGGAGTGACAACATTGGCAGATTTTGCCGGTCGACCCGCTTTCTTCTTTTCAGGGCTGAATTTCTTCAGAAAGGACAGCATCTCATTCACTTTATCTAGATCTTCCCTCATCGAGACACTGCCAACACCGACAGATGCCACAGAGCAGGTGGAACTCGTGAGCACTAATATAGTGCAGTGGGCAGATCCCCACTGCAACCCTGCCATATTATGTCAAGTATTGGGCACATCTTTTTATTTTTTGCTAATAATTGCATCTACCAATTCAAAAAACAAACAAACTAGTATTTGCCAATTTGGATTCTATACCAGTACCACAAAGGACATTTGAAGTGCAATTTGGTGTTTGATAATATAACAACATATAATAAATGCTACAGGTAAAACGAGAGACAAGAGTTCCAAATTGCAACAGACCATCATGGTATATATATACCTGCTTTGCAACAGACCATCCTGGTATATAACAGCCGCAGCAGGCACTTTGTTGTCAGTTTGCTTTCTTGTCTTCTCAAGCTTCGCACAAAACCAATTATTCATTAGACCTGGAAATCAAATCAAAGCATTTAAACTGCTATAGGGCAATAATCAAAAAATGAAAGAGACTTATTTGTCCATAACTGGAAAATTTTTTCATCAACTCAAAATTTAAATAAAAATGTAAATATGGCAATTCAATACATTGAAAATTTTTAATCAAATTTCATTTAAATTTGAAAAATAACTCAAAAGAAAATATTTATTTGTACAATTACACTGATGCAAGATCATATTTTACGTTCAAACAATTTCAAAATGATTTAATATAGGGCTTTATTTTCACTTACCAAGGAATTTCAAAGTCAGAGAACTTGGAGATGTCTTCTTCACATTTTTATTGTGACAAACTTAATTGTAAGAATATTTATATGGGCAAACAAGAGATTTTTTAGAAACCAGTTAATCTTGAAACTTGATTTCCCTTACTGCTTTGAAATTTTAACATTATCTTTATACATATGATAATTCTGGTCTCTATCAAAAAGTAAAAAAGTATCTGGTAATTGGTATAAAGTCAAAAATGAAGAAACTATAAAATTAGAAAGTCTCTGCTTTGCCCCCATCATACCATGTTTGGCACATTACAGTTCCAATTTAAACAAAAAAAGGAAGTTTAATTTAAGGGTATTAAGGTAATCTTTTTTTATTTATTTACTAGGATTAAAGTATTTATAAACTATTGGTACTAAATTCAATCATATTCACAGTTGACATTTGCATTGAAAATATAAATACACATCTTTTTTATGCACTCAATTACATTTCTCTATTGGGAGTGACACACTGACACTAGTCATTGTAAATACTGCAATGTCTAACGTAGTCACTCTGCTGTCTCTGCACTCAGCCGGACACTGACGTTTCGTCAACTCTACAGTCTCAACTGCGATGCAAATAGCAAGTTGACAACTAATGTGTCCTTAGCCATCTGTAAGATAAAATTCCATATTACTGAGAGTAAAATATCTTTTTAGGCGTAGTTTTAAACAGCGACGAATAATGAGGTTTCTCCAATCGAAAAACGACAAGCCACCAACACTTGAGAAATATGGCGCCTGCCGCGCATGTTCGGTTGCGCACTAGCCAATATCAAGCAGCAAAGCAATATTTATTCACACTAAATAACACTTTTTATGTTACTTGCTAGCTGCCAATGAATGATTTTGGCGGTAAAATATGTTACTTCTTCTAATACCAGTAGAATATGAGTGCGCAATTAAACGTTTTTCAGCTCTACCTGGTTGGAACGACATCTGGCAATCGGATTGGGAATCACACAACAATGGAAATGACGAAGTACTTTTTTACATAATTTTGCCCTTGGCACGGACAAAAAGTTTAGTTTATTTGATTATAATCGTTTGATTGCAATTGTGGTAAAATTTGCACTACTGGGATCTCTTTGCTCAGCAAAGTCAAACATGAATAAAGCAATACGAATAAAGCCAACTTAGTCAAACGGTGAATATCTATGACTCGCTTGTTGTTTTGCCTCAGCTGCTGCTGCAGGAACTTTAGAAAGTGGGTCTCTACCACCCACTTTTGCGGCTGACTCACTTATGGAGGCTAAATTTTCTCTGAGTATAGGCTTCCCTCTTGGTCTTTAGCTGAGCTATAACTGTACTGTTCATCCACTGGGACTTTTTGACTCCTCCGAGCTTAATCTTAGGTACACAAACATCAACTACAGACACAACCGAGCCTTTAAAATATGACCAAGAATCAGCCAGATTCATGTCCTTAAAATATAGTCCGACATATTCGCCGCATTCACTGCTTCACGGAGTTTATCATAATCGCCTTTCGCAAAGTTCAAACGTTCACGCTTCTGAAGCGTCTTTTCCGCATGGTACTTGATACTGTAAAACAATGATTGGTGGTGGCTTTTGCCCAAGGGAGCTACGTAGCGAAGCTCATCTATCATTGAATTTTTACTGGTAAACGCTAGATCTAAAATATTTGGGGTCTGTTTACCCCTAATATGGGTTGGCTTGTTGATATTCTGGATTAAAAATCTTTGTTCGTGTATGGATAGTGCGTGTCGTCTGTGAAGATGTCAGAGGTGTTTTGCCTACCTATGGGAATGATTTTGAACTTATTTGTCTCTGTCATAATGAGACATTTATTTTCGAAGGTTTGGATCTGTTGTATGACGTGTTGTGTTTGTACTGCTGCGTGGTTATGTGGGTAATCTCCTGCGGTTATCTGTGTTATGTCATCTGCAAAAGCTGTGTAGCCTGTGTTGGGTAGCGGTGGCGGGAGATTGTGGGTGTAGAAGCTGTATAGTGTGGGGGAGAGACATGCCCCTTAAGGGACACTTGGATGGAGTTGTATTGGGGGCCTGTGTGATTTCCTATTCTTATGGATGCTGTTCTATCTGTAAGGTAGTCTGATAGTATTTTGGTGAAGGTTCTGTGGAGGTTGAGTAGGATGATCCTGAATTTGGAGTCCGGTGTGCCAAACCTTGTCAAAGGCTTTGGTTACATTGCGGAGGACTATGTAAGTGGTGTGTCTTGCGCTAAGTGTATGTAAGTGGGTGCGTCTGCATGGCATGGGGTCTGGAGATCTACTGCTGACCGGGCGTAACACGAGGCGTGATAACAACGTTCACGATAATGCCGAAGTCACTAAAACTGGGTCTGGATGATCTGCTGAAAAGCAAGTAGTACATCGCTATTTGGACAAAGTCACTCTATTTTTCTGTGTGTAGTAACTGCGCATGAACTTGACAATGTGATTGTCTATAGATTGAGGGTTCATTCTTTATCAGCTGAGACAGATATCATGATCACGGTACATTCATTAGCATTAACCGAATATGGTACATGTTCGTGTTCATGGTTAGTTGAAGACTTAATGATATTTTTTAATATAACCGTTTTTCCCGTTCCATAATGTTTTCGCAAAAATAAATGTAAATAAATGTTTCGTAAATAAATGTTTCGTAATAATTCTCAGAAATGGAAACGGAAATTGGAACGAAATTCTCAAATGGAAATTAGAACGAAATTCTCTACTTAAAACAAAAAACAGTATTGTGTTCAAATGGGAAAATTTAAATGATAATTTCCAAGAAAACTGCTTACTATAAATTCTATTTTCATCATTCATTAATTAAAAACATATTTAGTTCATATGTGCAGAGAAGACGACGTGCGCTAAATAGGGTAGGAATGTAGTATATCCTTCCTCTTAAGCTATAAATATTACTTGATTTTTATGGGTAACTTAACGAGCGATCAATATTACTGAAAATCTCATCGAAACTTTTAATCTGAAACTTTAAAACGCTATACACACAAATTTGCGTGTCCAAGCGTTTTTATTTGAAAACATCGTTGACTTGTATAGTATTAATTCTGCTAGAGAATACACTTGAAGTTTGTGAATGCGAAAACAATAATAAATATCTGTTAATGTTCTTATATAAGTAATTGTATGAAATGCATTACTTGATTTGTGAATTTAATGCCACATGCACGATTTTGAAAAACTGTTCCTTAGTCCATTCCGTGACTCCGGTGCGCACTGCATCAAACTAGTAGAACTAATGTTCATCGGCTGCAAATATAATGAATAATGAGGAAATTAATTGGTTTATCCTTTATAAATTGTTATTATAACATCTATACATAAAAAAATTCGATAGAAAATATAAAGGAACATCATAATTCACGTAGAGAATGCCTAGTGAGTTATTTAAAGATTTCCGCTGATCACATCATCAAGAAGTTATAGAAAAATTATCTTTCAATTAGTATTCGTTTATGTTTTTTTTTGTGCAAGTGCATGCCAATTTCTGAAATTGTCAACAGGTTTTTTGAAATCCTAAACCAAATTTATATAGAATATTTTGAAAGAATGTCGAAAATGTGGAAAGGCGTTGAAATGCCTCTAGTGAAAGGCAACCTAGTGAGTTTCCTCTTCAAAGACTCGCATAAATGGAATCATTTACATGCATTGGTAGGTACTTTTTTCACGTACTTGCTTGAGAAATTGATATTTAGTAATTTACCAAGTAAAATTAAATTGAGGATTTTAAGTTCGATTGGATGCTTGACATTTACTGCAGAGGAAAACTATGCCAGAAAATATTTTGATCTGCACCATACATGCCTGTCAACAACCATGCCAGTTAATTTTTAGCTTTCGAAAACTTTTTCAATATTTGAGTCCTAAAACCCCCAATGTGTTGCAGTCACATTATTATTCTCACTCTAAAGCTTCGATTGGCCACTACCGGCATGAACTATATTTTCTTGCAATAAAGCCAAAATCCCTAACAAAATTTCAATGCGTGCCAGACTCTTAAATGGATGCCGCCTAGGACTCGGGGACCTCGTAAATAAGCTTTACTGTGTCTGATTCGGCTCAGGGTTTGGAGTGCAGCCTCTGGGCAGCTTGCAAGCTCGGTATGACTCGGTTCGGCCAACGCGTCCCATACTCTCAGGACACTATAAAGTCGGAAAAGAAATTCTGACCAAAAAACTGATTACGGTCGGTCGGCCAAGCAGACCCACGTTAACTCTAAGCCGAGTGTAGCGACTATTCTGCCAAAGCCGACACGGTCCCCGAATTTTTAAAAGGGTTCACATTTCGCTATTAAAAAAAATTTTTGAGTCACTAATACGATTAAATAAATTAATTGCTCAAATTACTATTATTTAAAAAAAATCGAATAAAACACGAAAAATTTTCGACTTATTTCTAAATTTTAATTGATCTTACATAAAAATCCCACTTCGTGGCAGGAATGTGGGTACACCCGCCAATCCCTAACGTACGGGGAGCTGCAACAGGCAGTAGGGAGATGGGGAGCTTGGCTGACATCCTTCATGGGGGAGTCCAATCCTTCCGCCGCCAGTCCTTCCTGCCACCAATCCTTCGTGGTGGGGAAGTTCTCCCCCAGCTGCGTGGACGTGGCGGTGGTGCAGCTGGGGACTATGGCCGTGGGGGCCGTGTACACGTCACTCAACATTTCCTTTGGTCCCAGTGAGACACTTTTTGTTAGCTAAAGCGTTAAAATATTGCAGGCATTGCTAGACGATATCAGTTTCTCTCTAATACCTGAAACTCAATCATTTATTTGATGCCAGTGTGCGAATTTTTGGCTAGGCATATGTTCAAAATTATGCTCAAAGCTCCATAATTCGTCAGTTTATTTCTAATGCACGGCACATGAAATTTCCTTTGGTCACAGTGACACTCTTTGGCTAGGCAAATGTAGAAATTACGGCAATGGCTACATGGTGTTAAAGTTTCTTTCTAATACAAGGCACTCAATATTTCCTTTGCTCCTAGTGAGTGTTCTCCGCTAAAAGTAAAAAATTGCGAACAATTGTACATAATTTCAACTTTTTTCTAATACACGTTACTTTAAAATTCCTCTGGTACCAGTGAAAACGTTTACAATTTATTGTGAAATGAACTGGGACTGATGGAATTTGTTCTTATCTATCATTATGTATATTAGTGCTCTTTGATGTTAATTTTCATTTGCCAACCACCCGAAAATTCCTATCAAATTGTTCTTCCTGACATCGATCAAAATTTGTCTTTGAAGAGAACTAGTAGGAGTGTACAATTTAATGCTCTACATTTAATCACAATCAAAATTTCCCCCGCAAAGGGGAGCTGAGTGCGCAGATCGAGGAGACGGGCGCCGCCCTTCTGATCACAACACCGAAGTTCTTCCTCCGCCTTCAGGAGGCCCTGGACAAACTGGGGCGCAAGATCCCCGTCGTGTTGATCGGCAGCGGGGAACTTGGGGACGTAGGGAACGGCCTCAACGTTGTGGGAACATACAAAGATATTATCAACGACCAGACGACTAAGCCTGTGGAACCTGTTGAGGTGCGTAGAATGCTGTTGGGATCACTGGACTAAAATTATTGGCACAATCATATCATAAATATAAACAGATCTAATGCAACCACGTACCACTGCGGTGGATGACGGCACAATGAAAATGCGAAAACATTAACACGCGAGGTCACATCGGGGTAATTCAAAGCTAGAATGAAACATTTTAAGTGTCTTATCGCGATCACTTACACTGTAATAAGTAATATTATTTAATATAGTGATTTCAATTTTGAAGGGCAAGCTATGTTGGGCAGTATCAGATTCCAAACAGCGCAGAATATTTTTCATAGCTATACCTGCAGGTCCCGCAAATCTTGCTTAGCAATTAAAGTAACATATTCTTCAATGAGTAGTAGTCATAATCCTGCTGCATAAATATGAATCGGTATATATATAGAATGCTCTATGCATTCTATTCATAATTCTATCCGGCCAGTGGAATATGATGAAGTGTGTTAAATGTAATATTATATTATTATTCCTTAATCCCTTTGTAGGTTGTATTTTCATTATAGGCTCCTTCACTGCTGGATATTTTAACATTTTCAATATTTTTTTTTTCATTTGTACCAGAAAATTTTTTCCATTAAACGATGCACCTAAATACAAATTATGCACACGAATAAATTTTTACTAATGAGTGAAATGATTTCATGTAGGGTTTAGTTTTTATATATTTATATTTTTGGGTTAATGTTAGACCAGCAGTTGCTAGATTTTAAGATAAAAATAAAAAAAACTTAAATGACATTTATGCGACAAAAAAACAGACAGCTTTATGATTAAGAAATGTTATGGTTTTGATGAAAGGTTTTAATTCACAAGCAAAAGTTAATTTATTCAAAGCTCGTGAGTTGAGACATTAAAAATTCAAAGTGAATAAAGCTTGTTATTTTTACATTTAAAATCATATAATGAGCAGATGAAAACCCAAATTTCAACTTGTAAAATACTATGGAATAAATAATTCGTTACTCCACATTCTTCAATAACTAGGTTGGGGCCGTGCGACGAGATTGCCGTGACGTAGCGATGATCGCTCGTAATGATGATGATTTCCTCCGAATTGCTCGCAAGTTCGGCTGAAATCGCATTTTTTCAGTTAATCCAGCAAAAAAAGAGGATTGCGTTCAATTTTTGGTTTATTTGGAAAACCATTGGGATTTGCGGACTTTTTCGGCTTTTGATTGCCTTTTTCTTTTTTTTTCCGGGACCCTTTTTTTTTAACTTTGTTGCCCCTTTTTTTTTTTGTTTTTTTTTTTTTTGGGGTGTGTCCTTTTAGTGTGGTTTTGGCGGCGGGGGTGTGCGATGTGTGTGCGTTTTTGGTGTGAGCTTTTATAGCTTGTGGTTTTCAGCTTCTTTGTATATGAAATTAATTGCTGCCGTCTTGAGAGGTTGGCTGACATAAGCTCAGTACAGGATTGGGTAGGAGTTTACAAGGGAACATATATTAGTAAATGAAATGAGTTACTGCTATTTGTATTGGTCGTGCAGCTGATGGGAGATGATGTGGCGCTGCTGGTGTACACGAGCGGCACCACCGGGATGCCCAAGAGTGTGCAGCATTCCCACAACTCCATCATCGCGGGGGTGCAGGCGAGTATGCATCCCCACTTCTGGCCGCATCCTCCTACCACAAATGGTACGTAATTTTTATAAATGATCTATTGAATGTTTGAGCTTAGTTCTGAAAATATTTAACAAATCTACTGTTCAAATGTTCAAATGACAATAATTTCCCTAAGTTTCTGGACCCAGTCTACCCGTCAGTAATGGGTGTTAATTTCACCGAATGGGATCATTATAAGTTTTAAAAATTATTTAATTAGGGCAATAGAAGAAAAATTATAACTCAGTACTCACTGCAGTGAGTGTCAGAGAGCGCATTTTCTTGTCGATGAAAACGTGAAGTCACGGACGGACAGACAGACGGACAGGCATGGCGAGCACAAGAGTGCATTTTTTCCATAAATAAGAAAATGCGCTAAAAATGCGCTAAGAATTTCGGTGCGTGTATTATTTATTTATTATGTCAATTATTTATGATGGCTGAGATCATGACCTGGGTTATCTTACATATTTCGGAAAGGCCAATCTTCAACCAATTTAAAACTATAATCTTAATCACGACACATTCCAGAGTATTCTTAAAATCAACGAAAACGTGAAGTCACGGACAGACAGACGGACGGACGGACGGACATGGCGAGCACAATAGTGCATTTTTTCCATAAATGAGAATATGGGCTAAAAATTATTTCAATTATCTTGCAATATTTCCGAATGGGATCATATAAGTTTTAAACATTATTTAATTGGGGCAATAGAAGAAAAAAGTATTTCAATTATCTTTCAAAAATTATTTAATTAGGGAAATAGCAGGAAAATGTATTTCAATTATATTTCCACATTTCAGAAACCTTGCAACGATCTATTTAGGACTCACTCCCATGCCAGGTAACAAATTTTTAGTTCAATCATCTTGCAGAAGACAACGAGTAATTTAATAAGTTCGTTCGCTCACTCGAATTGAACGATGCATGCAGCGACTTCTTGCATCAAAGCAAACAAGGACTCAAGTGATGCCTCGAATTATTGCTCCTGTATGGCAGAAACTTAGTGTTTGATCGAACCATTTTTCGAACTCGCTCACACTACAAGTGCGGAGTACTTTAGTTCAACATGGAAACATGGAGACGAAAAACTTTCACCGCATACAAAAATTTACTTTATTAATTATCCAAACTAGGCATTTGACGACTTCACTTCATCATAGTAAACAAGTATTATAATATTTATACGGAATGACCTAACTCTCACCGCCTAATACCTTACTATCATCATTTTTGGGAAGACTTTATTTTCGTCGCAAAGTTAAGCGATTTAAAAGGATGGCTTCACTTTGACAGCTAGCGTAGTTGAACGATTTAGTGGGTGCCTTTTCGCAGAAATAATGCAAATTACTCAATAAAAGCATGGCATCTTACCTTATGTCGCAGAAAGCAACCAGACGCGCTCTCTGCTCATGAGGGACTTCGGGTTTGCATACGGGCTGTGTTCCGCCTTCATGCCCGGGCTCGCCACGGGGATGTGTCACATCATCAAAACTTTGGACGATTACACTTTCCTGAGCGATGTTGAAGAATTTAGGGTGAGATCAAAATAAACATGGGTCATATTGACCCACGTTTATTTATTCCAGAATCAATTTATCCAGAATCAAAATGTCCAAATAGACAATCCAGAGTTTGTGAAATACAATATGCAAGCAATTGGTGACTCACTACAGCTTTTGATTGATTGATTGATTTTTATTCAGATATGAAATAAAAAATTCACAAAAGTCATGAGTTACTGACTAGAAAACTTTCTGGAGTGAAAGTTTGCACTTTGAGCACTAAAATATCCTTTCGGATCGCCGAATATTACCACCCTGGCCCACTCATTCTCGTCAGAAGACGTAACGCATACTTTTTTGATGTATATCGTGAAGAAAAAAAATTGTCGATCTACTTAAAATAGAGTTATTTCAAATTTAATTTAGCGCAAAGAATTATATCTCAAATTTTCCGGCGGGTTTCGAAAATTTTTTAAAAACTAATTCCGTACAAAACGACCTGATGCTTCGGTAGCCTAAGCAATCCTAACCCCCCGCAACACTACAATTTTACTATTCAGTAATATATATTGCTATCCAATCTAAAGAGCGATCCTGGCAATCAAATTATCCCAATAATCATTCACAAGAATGTAGGCACTTCTTCAATCTGTAGACCGCGTCTAACTACCACATATAACCACAGCAAAATACCACAGCAAAAGACAATGCAAACTCATCCTCATGTATACTATTTAATGCATTCAATTTTGAATAGATTGATAAAAAACGAGGCAAACTCATTCTCGTGTATAATATTTATTGCATTCAAGTTTGAATATATTGATATACGATATTTTCAGATCAACACAATCGCGATCGTGGTCCTGAATTTCCCGACGGTGCTGCGTCTGGGCAGCGAGCGCCAGGATTTGCTCCAGCATTTCCGACACGTGCTTGTGGGTGGCGGCGCTATCCCGCAGGCCCACGTCACCGCTGCGGCCAGCACCATGCCTGGAGTCTTCGTCCAGAAATGTTCGTTGGGACGGGAAATTTATGTAAAAAATTTCCAGGGATTTCATTTCCGGTAGTTTAGTTTAGTAATTGTTTTGGAGCTCAAAAAAATATTTGTCTTGCGCAATGCAGTCGAAATGTTATTTAGTTCATGTTCATTCTGTTTCTGTTTATATGTTTTCATTATTATTCCATCTCTTCAAATAATTTGAAGAGCAAATGAAAAAGTTTTTCAAAATGGCCAGTAAAATTTTATGCTGTGAACATTGAACGCGCACATTTTTCAAATTCTTGACAATTTTGTTTCATTCTTCAATGATATGTTCGCTGTAAGAGGTAGATTCACTTAGTAAATGAATTATAACTGAAACTCAACATTACTCAGAGACCTTAAACTCACGCCGGAGCCGTATGCCAAGTTCAGCTCCTCTCTTCCTATTCCCGGATGACCGGCGATACATTAAGACCAAACATTATGATACCAGTCTCAGTAACTAATTCATTCTGACCAAGTATTAATATAATTTTATATGTAAAGTAGTCAGATATGATTATTCCTCGTCCAGGTTACGGCACGTCGGAGATGTTCGTGATAGCACAAGACCCTTTGGGCGGCGGCAAGCCAGGGTTCACAGGCAGCGTCTTCCCCAACGTTGAGCTCAAACTCAAGGATCTCAACTCAACGGAGTTACTGCCCGCCAACCAAATAGGAATCCTATTCATCAAAAGCCCCAGCGTGAGTTTTCTCTCATATGTGTTTTAGCTCAATTTTGGGTGTGTGAAGATTGTGGTAGTATCAACATACTCGTAATGCTCGGTCGTCATTATTCATCAAATTAGCGTTATATGTTGTTAGCCCTTTAGCGGGCAGATTACTATATGTGGTTACTTAAAATCGCTTTCCAAAAAATCCCAACTCGTCCCCCGGTTAGTATTTGAGGCTACGTTATCACGCCTCTGTCAATCCCCAGTTATTTGCTCAGCCATTACATAGCATCGCTCCCTGCCTTGCCCAGGAATTGAAATATGAGCATTTAAATGGAAGTTTCGAAACGGATAACGAAATTTGCGCTCTGTCCACATTAATTAAAATTTGGAAAAAGCAATATCAATTTGAATAATTCAAATTAAGTTATGGAAATAAAATTAAATAAAATCAAATAAATACTCAAATAAAAGCCAGATATAGTTTCCTGTTGCATCTGAATTAATATAAGATAAATTTTTTGCATAATGACCGTTTTTTATATAATTTTCGTGTGCAACTTACTCCAATATATTGTAGAGGCAAAATAATGAATAATCCATTTGACTAAATTTATCATATAATTTTAAATATTTTTTTTGCGGTGGCTCCGGGCATTTAAATTTCTACCTATTTTTATGCTTGTGCGGGAAATTATTCAACATGGTTGATATAAGCCCGTCGGTATCTGCTGAACCTCACAAACGTTATGTCGGACATTTATTTTTGTTTCTGAATTTTATCACACAGAAATTATATGTGTACTTAAAGCGAGCAGGTTATTAATGTTTAAATACCATGGGTTCATGCGTACTCGATTCTAGAAGAATTATTGAATAATAAGTGAGAAATACATTGAAAGTGCAATTAACGATATAAACGTATGAAATTAAGAGAACAAAAAATCATGATCAGCAAAAAAAGACAGACTGTCATATCTGTGACCATCACCGAAGACAAATCGCAAATTATTTTAACATTTACCCGAAACACGGTCAATGCAATATTTCTTGCATCTAATTTGTATACGAGTATAGCTTTGCTTAGGCCTATACAGAACAGGCACCGATTCGCATCGTCGCAGAATATTCTCAGCTTGTTGCGGGTCTCGAACATGCACCTCACTGCTTCAATTTTGCGTTGCTCAACCGCCCGACCACCTTGAAGATTTGACAAGAACTGTCGCAGAAAGCTGGGAACGATACAACTCGCTGCTCCAATCCTTACACTCTGAACTGTAATTATCGGGATAAATAATTAATCCGCATAGCAATGCATTACTGGTAAGACTGATTATTTGTCACAGAAAATGCAGGGTTACCGCAATAACCTGACGGAGACTAATAACGTCATCGACGAGGAAGGCTGGTACAACTCAGGCGACGTGGCCCTCATGGACGAGGACGGCTACGTCCAGGTCGTCGACCGCTTCAGGGAGATCATCAAAATGGCGGACGGCCGCAATGTGAGAGGGTTTTTTGATGATTGTGATGGCAACTTGCATCAAGTTTGCAGATAACTGCAGCGTTGGGTGTTGAATAAAATGGCATGGGAAACGCTTATCAAAAGCTAGTTAATCAAATGTACTCTATGGGAACTACATGAGTTGTTTTCATTTCCGTCGCCAGAATAGATTAAAAGGTTTTTTAAAAGCACCGATACCTACGCATTTGTTGCTCTTAATGTTGTAAATGTAAATGTTCTTCAGGAGTCAGTGGGAGTATTATCGTTTTTATTGAAGTAATTGTATAATTACTTCAATAATTGTATAATTACTCTAATTGTATAATTACTCTAATAGAGTTGCCGTTTTAGTTGTTATAACCTTTTCCATTCTACAATAGTAATCTCGATACATCGAGTTATTATATCATATAACGACTGTAAATTGCATGGAATTGCATGAAGAATTTTAATTCTCAAACGTGCCACTTTTATTTTAGAGAAAACCGAGTCCGAATGAATCTGCATTTCGTACATTTTTATAATACAGTTTTTATAAATCCAAAATTCTCTGTTTACTCAAAATTAGAACTGAAAATTTGAATTTGCATGTCTTTTCATCTCCAGGCTGCCCCAGCGGAGTTGGAGAACACGATCCTGGAGATGGAGGAGGTGAAGGAGGTGTGCGTCATTGGGACGCTCGATGCCAGCACAGGATTTGACTCCATTTACGTTTTCATAGTAAATAAAACGGACGTCTCTCCCCCCATTAGCGAAGAAGACGTTGTAAATTACGTCGTGCGGAGCCTCAACGAACTAAAGCGGCCTAGAAAAGTGGTTTTCATGGACGCTTTGCCTCGGAACGACAACGAGAAGGTCGACCGCAAACTCCTGAGACTGAAAGCGAAGGAGATGCAGAACGAGAAATAATTTTGGCTTGTACGAGGGTTCCTATGTAATAATTACTATGTTATCGTAATTAATATTGCAAAAGTCGAGCAGCCTATGTCGGAACATGCGAGGAGAAAAGGGAATTGACCGTAGCTTCGATACTGTGAAAAAAAATTCGCAATTATATGTATGAGGGAATAATGAACGATGCAGCGCCACTTATGATTTCACTTGGCTTAATGGCTTACAGGCGAGTTGATTTTAAAATTTCCTGATTGAGTTTAGGTTTTCAGTTCAATTTTTAAAATCAGTTATTTGTTTCGGAAATTTTATTCCGTTCATTATGCTTGTTGGAAAAGAAAAGAGAAAAATTAATGAACTTTCCATTCATGATCTTCGATTTATTGAAGCTCGTAAAATAAATTCTATTGAACAATTGATATTTAGTAAGAAAAATTGTCTATTGATTTTGTGCACATGAGATACGATCACAAATAATATATTTTGATTATGAAGATTATAAAGTAACAATATGGAACTATAACGTGTCCGATGGCTCACAAGTTGATATGTTCAATCGAAGAATCTGACTTGCCGCGGTACGCCGTCTTGCACGAGACATTCCGGGAAAACCTGGAGCCATCACTCAAGAACCATCTCTCAGGAGCCACTACTCAGGAGCCATCACTCAGGAACCATCACTCAGGAGCCATCACACAGGAGCCATCACTCAGGAGCCATTTCTCATGAGCCATCACTCAGGAGCCATCTCTCAGGAGCCATCACTCAGGAGCCATCACTCAGGAGCCATCACTCAGGAACCATCACTCAGGAGCCATCACTCAGGAGCCATCACTCAGGAGCCATCACTCAGGAGCCATCACTCAAGAGCCATCACTCAGGAGCCATCACTCAGGAGCCATTTCTCACGAGCCATCACTCAGGAGCCATCACTCACGAGCCATCACTCAAGAGCCAACACTTTTGAGCCATCACTCAGGAACCATCTCTCAGGAGCCATCACTCAGGAGTCATCACTCAGGAGCCATCACTCGGGAGCCATCACTCAGGAGCCATCCCTCAGGAGCCATCCCTCAGGAGCCATCACTCAGGAGCCATCTCTCAGGTCCATCACTCGGTATTGTCCATATCTTGACAGACTTTCTCACCTACTGCACGAACAGAAAGCGTACGTAGCATTGATACGCCATTTTGTCAAACCGAACTCTGTCAGCATGATCCACACACAAGAGCGTTAATTTTTATTGATGCAGTTATTGTATTTTATATAATATTTATTGCAATAACAATTTTTATACAACTCATTTCTATGACGGATCCCAACAGCAATATTGTCTCGCTTTTATTGCTTTCTAATGAGGAAGTCTCGTCACTGCGACATTCAGTGCTTGTTCTCCTTGGAGTGAGAATTGCACATGCCTATAATAGTTTTCCACATAGCTTAGTGTATATTGCATTTGTATTCTTCGTCTTTCTCTACTCCAGGCTAACGAGTTCATGTCAATCCGTTCTTCCACGGGCGATATTTATTCCGTTAATCTGCCTGTGGGTATAAGCTTGCGCCGACACTGAATAACAATTGTCCAATTTTATGTTGAATCGGATTGTTCAATCCAATTCACCATCACCAAACGATGACAACTAAATCGGCTCCTCACAAATGTCAAAACCATTTCCTTGTTGTTAGTCAATAACGATTTTTGGTAAAAAATGGCATTTCGTAATGAATTATTAAAAAAATATTTTTTAATGAATGATTGTTGGTAAGGAATGATTTCGTTGATAATAAATACATTTATAGAATATGTGGAACCATTAGTTTGAGTTTTATTTAAAGATGTTGGGTGCACTTCGAATGTTCACAGAATTATTTGAAATTATTTTGTGTTTAAATTAGACTACGACCACTTCATTGTACCAGGTATTGCCTATGCATTAGAATTAGAATCTCCTTACCAGATATTCATCACTCGAAACTGGAATAAAATAACGCCATTTCGATTTTAATGAATCGTCTTTCCTAGTTTCATCATTATCATTAAAGGTATAAGATTCATTTTACATTTCATGTTAATGTTACAAAATTCATCTTTAATTTTATCCAAATTTTAAGCAAGTTTCAAAGATGTTTTTTATAAATTTCAATAAAAGCAATATAGTGATGCATTTTATATCATGAGGCACACTTCGGTTGCAAAACAACAAGATTAACTAATAATTTCAACCTATATCTTTAACAGTTCTATTATTTAGATCAATTGAAAATATTTTAATAATTTTTCTAATAGTCTCCAAGATTCAAGGAACGGGATATATCTCCCAAACTAATGAACGCAGCTAAATGAACGTGCGTTCGCCTAAATGTCATGCTTAGATCGAGATTATTTATTTTTATTTCGCTTTCGTTTTCAACTTATACGGTTATGCGGGATACAATTCACAGTGAACATAAAATACTTTTTACACTACCGAGCAGATTCGAACGTAACCTTGAATACACATTAATAACCACCTAGCGGTGATATCAAAGTCGTATAAACACTTTCAATTAGGGCTTCATTCGAGAGTTATTTGGCTGTACCGTTATTTTGGATTATTTTGAGTTCGAGCTGTGCCGTGATCGAGAGCGAACGCACGTGTTTGTGGTCCCAAATTTTTAGCTTTTACTGTGCTGTTTTGGATCTCTTTTTGCATGTATTTTTTTATGGACCGCGCCAGTCAATGACCGAATTTCAGTGAAGTTAGTAAAAGAAAGTGCGAAAGGAGAGAATAAGCGTATATTAAAAATGTTTTCAGCCCGAATAACGCGAGTTTATAGAGTGAGTGACGGAAACGTGTGCCGTATACCAGGACAGAAGGCAGTAAACCTTTTGTTTTCGCTTAAAATCAGCTTACATCTACCCTGAACACCTTAGGCTCGCCAAAACCAACCCACCGCTTTCTGAAAGCCGCGCTCTCGAGTTGGTAACAGAGTTTTACAGTACTTTGGATTTTTTTTACAATCTTACTTAACATCAATCAGTTTTTAACTTGTGTATTTTTAACTCATACATTTCATGATGGCTGGAAAAGAGGAAAAGGTTAATTGGGAAGGCTTTTATGCCAGTAAGACCAAATGCGAAAATCAAATCACAAAATGAGCGAGGGGTAATTAGTAAATTTTGCAAGCTGGTTTCGGTTAACGACGATGGCGCTTCAGTGGCCTGTGATCATTTCGGGGGTTTCATTTGCAATAGTTGTGCGAAGTTGAGCAAAACAGATCGCTCAGTTATTCGCAGATATGAGACAGTACACTGGTATTGTCAGGACTGCCAATAACCAGGCAACAAGGGCACTCATGAGCTGCTGGATAGAGAGTGAAGAAAATTTAACCCTCTTTGGTTTGGCGATCCCGAAAGTAATGCTTCGAAGACGAGTGAGAGAGTGGATTCCTGCGTTGCGTTTATTACTGATTGATGTGTCAAGGTACTTAACGTCGTTGTGGATATAACGGTATGCAAGGCGATTGAAAGACGTTACCACCTGTAGACCGCTGTTGGTGGCTGTGAAGGATACATCGCAGGTCGGGCATGTGCTTAAGGCTGCGAGAAACTAAGTGAATTCCCATAGTATAATTCAGTCTTTGTTAGAAAGATTCCTCTCCTTTAGAAAGAGCGGTTTTCTGCCAGAAATGTCTGGAAAGAAACAGGCGAAGAAAGGAAGAAAATCAAACAGTGGTTTACTCTCAAGAAGCCAAGATTTACCCAACCGCAGGTGTTTTGCCTCAGGAGTCGAAAGATATGTGAAGGAGAATGGTTACGTAGATAGAAATAGGAGTGTAAGTAGATATATTGGTAGTTTTAGAAATCCCAGCTCATAACAAAATACTTTAAAATGTTTTTACAAAAAGTCGTTAACTTACAAAAACAAAAGAAGTGAGGTTCTATCGGTGATGGAGAGCAAGTATCCAGACATTATTTGTTTTATAAAAACATTGCCTAAAAATCACGGTGCAAATATTGTACTAGTTGAGTTTCAGTTGCCAGGTTATGATTGTTTTCACAACATAGGCGAAGAGCAGTGCTGCAGAAGTGTGGAGTTGTGGGTCAAAACCCTTTATAGAGCTCAGTATGTGAAGTTGTCTAAAGAGCACCAATGCCAATCAGCTAGAGAATCAGTGTCTATCAGCTGTGTAATCAGCTAGCGAATCATTGTCCAGTCGTCTCTTGAAAGTTGCAAGGCATTGAAGAGCCTCGGTCCCACCACGGACAGTGATCCCTCAGGAAGAGTCTGTCCTCGATCTGGCCGCGGCTCGGTTATTAAATGGGGCAACCCTGCACAGCCTGCCCCTCCTTTCGTTGTAATGTGTCACTATTCTGGAGGTCTCACATTCAAAGTTGGGAGCCAGTCCGGTTATCATCTTCCAACTGTACAGTATGGTATACCTCTCTCTTCTCCTCTCCAGTGAGTACAGTCCCAGGTGTTTCATCCTGTCCCAGTAGTTCAGGTCCAGTTCCCTCATGCCGCTGATCCTGTCCGATTGAAGGTCCGCTGCACTGCCTCCAGTTTCCGCACCGCACCCGCCTTGAGCGGCGCCCAAAGCTGACAGCGGTATTCAAGATTGGGGAGCACCAGGGCTCTGAAGACTGTAATAATTGGCGCTGCTTCTCTTGTTTGAAATGTCCGCCAGATCCACCCATCCTTTGTCTCTTTCGCGCATCTATTTCGTCAATGTGGTCCTCGAACATGTCTTCAGTAAACATCAACACTCCGAGATATATCGAGATCTCGAACTAGATGCTTCTAGTCAATTTCTGTGCCATCCGATGCCAAGTAGCGATGTGGCATCCCGATCTCAGTGCCAACTCTGTATCTCATTACATCGAACTCGGTGCCGTTAAATTGCATGTTATTCGCCAGGGCCCAATCATAAATTGTCGACAAGTCGTTCTGTAACCTCTCGCATGCTATTTCCTCTGTGATCTCCATCAGCACTTTTGTATCGTCCGCAAATGACGATGAAGATGCGTGGGTGAGTTCGAAATCGGCGATGTGGATGAGAAAGAGGATCGGTCCAAGCGCCGAGCCCTGTGGCACATCGCTTTTCACTCTCGCTTCTCTCGATTCTGAGTTTTCAATTGCGACAGCTTCTACTCTATTTGTAAGGCAGTTGTGGATCCACCCTAACATATTTCCGCCTACCCCCAACAGTCTCAGCTTTCTGAAGAGCAACCCCATGGTCAACTTTGTCAAAGGCTTTAACAAAGTCCAGGTATACTACATCCACGCCAGCTCCCTCCTCCAGTAGGGTGATAAGGCGGTGATGGTGTTCCAGCAACTGTGACAAACAGGAACGATTTCGTCGGAAACCATGTTGTCCGTTATTATACAGGTCAGCCTCTTCCATGTACTGGACAAGCCTCCTGGCCACTATTTTCTCAAAAGCCTTGATCACCTGTGAGGTCGAGGTCACCGGTCTGTAATTTTGAGATCTGTCCCTCGAGGCTTCTCTGTAGATTGGCATTATCAGTCCCACTTTTAGGCCCTCAGGGCCTAAATTTGATGCCATCATCGAGGGTTTCAAGAGCATTGTGAGCGGGGCCTTTAGAGTTCAAACTCAGTTTCTTCAACAGCGCACCACCGGAATTCCATCCGGTCCTGGTGCTGAGAACGTCGTCAATTCTTTGATACTTATTTCCATTTCTTCTGGCCCAAACTCAATGTTCTCCAACCCCTTCTTCCTGGCAGATCCTGTAAAACTTCGATTTCATTCTCTTCCGTTGAGTAGCGGGGGTTACTGAAGACTGATTCAAACTTCGATCCCAGTAACTCACACATGCCCTGGTCATCTCCGACAAGGACATCGTTTTCCTTCAGCGGGTCCACTGGCGTCTTTATTTTAGTCATGGACTGTGCGTATTTAAGAAAGTGCTTCGGATTCTCTCTGATTACCTCCACTACTCGTTCCTCAGCAGTTTGTTCTTTTATCCTATGCAAGTCCTGCAACCTGAGTTCCATTTCATTGTGCAGCCTTCTCATAAGCGTCGTGTATAGATCACCAAACAGTTCCTCTGATGAAGATAAAGGATTAACAGTCATTTACCGAGCATGACTTTCCGTAGGTCACACACGTTGATAGTTGGTGATTTTAATCATCCAAAAATAGACTGGACATAAGGGATCCTCTCCTAGGAATGGGAAACACCCAGCATCATTGTTCATGGAGTATGTGAGAGACTCCTTTTTAGTCCAGCACATTTCCAAGCTGAGCCATTATAAGAGTAAACAGACTCCCAATATTTTATACCTGGTGTTTACAAGTGATGAATCAATGTTAGATGAGCTTCGTCACTAGGCTTCGTTGGGCAAAAGCCATCACCAATCATTGTTTTTCAGTATGAATTGCTGTACAGAAAAGACGCACCGGATGTGTGAGCCATTGAACTTTGCGAAAGGCGACTACGACAGACTCCGTGAAGCAATGAATGTGGTGCATAATTCGAACAGTATTAAGGACATGAATGTGGCTGAGCCATGGTCATTTCTCAAGGACTCGGTTATATCAGCAGTTGATGCGTGTGTACCTAAAATTAAGTTTGGTGAAGCTAAAATACTCAGTGGATGAACAGTAGAGTACTAGTTAAGCTGAAAGCCAAGAAGGAAGCCTCCCAGCGATGTTTACAGACTTGTAACGATGCTGATTGTAACCTATACACATGAGCTCAAAATCAAGCTAAAGAAAGCTGTCGCACTGCAGTACAAATCTTAAAAAAAATATATTGCCAAAAATGCAAAAAATAACCGGAAAGCCTTTTTTTCATAAGCTAGCACAAAGTGTAAGACGGACGACGGTATTTCTGATTTAAAAGTAGATCAACGAAAGATATCAATCAGATTTTCAACAGCGTATTCACAGGCGAGGACTTCCTGCTATTGAAGAGCGCCCATTGGGCTCAAAATAAGCAAGTTTTAAAATACAAGAAGATGAAGTTCTCAATCACCTAGTCGCCTAAATCTCGACAAATCATGTGAACCTGATGGCTAAGAACTGCCAGTTTTCCCAACTGGTACATCACTGGGTTTAGGACAAAAACACCCTGACGCTGAGGGCTGGTTGACTTCTCTGCAACTTGTTCCGCCGTAGTTAATCGACGGCCTCGCGGGATCTGCGTGACTCCTTGGCTTAGCGTCCTCTTTTACTATGTCGAGAGCTGATAAAGGACTCTCTGAATGAGGTCGAGTCGTCGTCGATTTCTAATGCATCCGCTGTTGTATTCTCCGTAAGCTTCGTTCCAGACTTCCAGCGCAAATCTCTCAGGGGCCATCTCTCAGGAGCCATCACTCAGGAGCCATCCCTCAGGAGCCATCTCTCAGGAGCCATCTCTCAGGAGCCATCACTCGGTACGTATTGTCCATATCTTGCCAGACTTTCTCACCTACAGCACGAACAGAAAGCGGACGTAGCATTGATACGCCATTTTGTCAAACCGAACTCTGTCAGCATGATCCACACACAAGATCGTTAATTTTTATTGATGCAGTTATTGTATTTTATATAATATTTATTGCAATAACAATTTTTATACAACTCATTTCTATGACGGATCAACAGCAATATTGTCTCGCTTTTATTGTTTTCTAATGGGGAAGTGTCGTCACTGCGACATTCAGTGCTTGTTCTCATTGGAGTGAGAATTGCACATGCCTATAATAGTTTTCCACATAGCTTAGTGTATATTGCATTTGTATTCTTCGTCTTTCTCTACTCCAGGCTAACGAGTTCATGTCAATCCGTTCTTCCACGGGCGATATTTATTCCGTTAATCTGCCTGTGGGTATAAACTTGCGCCGACACTGAATAACAATTGTCCAATTTTATGTTGAATCGGATTGTTCAATCCAATTCACCATCACCAAACGATGACAACTAAATCGGCTCCTCACAAATGTCAAAACCATTTCCTTGTTGTTAGTCAATAACGATTTTTGGTAAAAAATGGTATTTCGTAATGAATTATTAAAAAAATTTTTTTTTAATGAATGATTGTTGGTAAGGAATGATTTCATTAATAATGAATACATTTATAGAATATGTGGAACCATTAGTTTGAGTTTTATTTAAAGATGTTGGGTGCACTTCGAATGTTCACAGAATTATTTGAAATTATTTTGTGTTTAAATTAGACTACGACCGCTTCATTGTATCAGGTATTGCCTATGCATTAGAATTAGAATCTCCTTACCAGATATTCATCACTCGAAACTTGAATAAAATAACGCCATTTCGATTTTAATGACTCGCCTTTCCTAGTTTCATCATTATCATTAAAGGTATAAAATTCATTTAAAATTTCATGTTAATGTCACAAAATTCATCTTTAATTTTATTCAAATTTTAAGCAAGTTTCAAAGATGTTTATTATAAATTTCAATAAAAGCAATATAGTGATGCATTTTATATCAAGAGGCACACTTCGGTTGCAAAACAACAAGATTAAATAAAAATTTCTACCTATGTATATCTTAAACAGTTCTATTATTTACATCAATTGAAAATATTTTAATAATTTTTTCTAATAGTCTCCAAGATTCAAGGAACAGGATATATCTCCCAGACTAATGAACGCAGCTAAATGAAAGTGCGTTCATTAGGACCTGAATGTCATGTGTAGGTCGGTAGGTCGAGATTATTTATTTTTATTTGTTTTCTTTTCCAACTTATACGGTTATGCGGGATACAATTCACAGTGAACATAGAATACTTTTTAAACTACCGAACAGATTCGAATGTAACCTTGAATACACGTTAATAACCACCTAACGGTGATGTCAAAGTAGTGTAAACATTTTCAATTAGGGCTTCATTCGCGAGTTCTTTGGCTGTACCGTTATTTTGAATTATATTGAGTTCCAGCTGTGCCGTGATCGAGAGCGGACGCACGTGTTTGTGGTTCCAAATTTTTAGCTTTTACTGTTCTGTTTCGGAGCTCTTTTTGCATGTATTTTTTATGGACCGTGTCAGTCATTGACCGAATTTCAGTGAAGTTAGTAAAAGAAAGTGCGAAAGGAGAGAACAAGCGTATATTAAAAATGTTTTCATCTTGAATAACGCGAGTTATAGCGTGAGTGAGGGAAACGTGTGCCGTATCAGGGCAGAAGGCAGTAGAGCCTTTGTTTTCCCCCAAGCTCAGCTCACCTCTAACCTGAACACCTCACGCCCGCCAACATCAACCCACCGCTTTCTGAAAGCCGCTACTCTTGAGTTGGTAACAGAGTTTTACAGTACTTTGGATTTTTTTTTACAATCTTACTTAACATCACTCGGTTTTTAACTTGTGTATTTTTAGCTCTTGCATTTCATGATGGCTGGACAAAGAGGAAAAAGTTAATTGGGAAGACCTTTAGTTCAGTAAAACGAAATGCGAAAATCAAATCACAAAATGAGCGAGGGGAAATTAGTAAATTTTGCAAGCTGGTTTCGGTTACGACAATGGCGCTTCAGTGGCCTGTGAACGTTTCGGGGTTTTCATTTGCAATAGTTGTGCAAAGTTGAGCAAAACCGATTGCTCATTTATTCGTAGATATGAGACAGTCCACTGGTATTGTCAGGACTGCCAAAAACCAGCACATAGCGCTGTAAAAAGCGGAAAGACTGTGGAAGAGAAATGCTTTTCTATGTTCTCAGTCTATAAGGCCGAAATGGAAGAGACTAACAAGAAAGAGTTGAGAAAGAGAGCCGAAATGGAAGAGAATCACATGACAGAGTTGATCTTGTTGCGTATTGAATTAAACTCATTACGGAACGAGCTGATGGAAATGAAGGCTCATCTCCACAAAACAGAAAAGAGCGATAACACAGAAGGTAAGGGCCGCAAAGAGGTCATCTCAGATTTCGCCAACGAGGGCACTCATGAGCTGCTGGATAGAGAGTGAAGAAAATTTAACCTTGTTTGGTTTGGCGTTCCCGAAAGTAATTAATGCTTCGAAGACGAGTGAGAGAGTGGATTCCTACGCTGCGTTTATTACTGGTTGATGTGTCAAGGCACTTAACGTCCCCAGCAGACATTCGGCGGTTGAATCAACGTTGAATCAACATTGAATTAACTACCTATTACGACGTTCATATCGGGGTGAAAGGAGGTTTATAATGAAAATTGAAGCAATATCTTTCATTAAACGTCGTACTGACGTTACAATGCAACGTTGAATCAATGTTGCTACTACGACGTTGCTGCAAAGTCGAATTCTATGGTTGAATCGACGTTGAAACAACTACTTATTACGACGTTGAGATCGCGGTGAAAAGAGGTTTAGAATGAAAATTGAAGCAACGTCTCATGAAACGTCGTACTGATGTTACAATGCAACGTTGAATCAATGTTACTACTACGACATTGCTGCAACGTCAAATTCTCTAGTTATATCAACGTTGAAGAACCAATCTGTTTTTCGTCCGTAGCAGGATTCGAACCCGGGATCGCTGGAGACCGCGCGACGCCTTATAGCAACCTTGACCACTGCAGCTCGCGCGTATGAGCAATAGGAATAAACTAAAGAATAGTTCGAATCCTTGAAAATTGAAATGAATTCTCTGTTCATTAATCATTCACTTATACATATGTATTTCATTCAATGTTGGTGTGATTAGTTTACATTATTACATAACATTAGTTCCATGCTGGTAAATAGCTCAACATTCAACGTACCGATAACCACCATTTGTCAACGTTGAAATAAGGTTGTACTACGTCCGTTCTAGTTTTGGTCAGATTTCGACGTTGATCGGACGCTTAAAAATAAATAAACATTCAACGTACCAATATCGACGTTGTTTAAACGTTGAAATAAGGTTGTTTTGAGTCCGTTCTAGTTTTGTACCGGCATAGAACAGGCAGAGCAGGCACAGAACAGACAGAGCAGGCATAGAACAGACAGAGCAGGCATAGAACAGGCAGAGCAGGCATAGAACAGGCAGAGCAGGCATAGAACAGACAGAACCGGCATAGAATTAACAGACAGAGTAGGCATAGAACAGACAGAGCAGGCAAAGAACAGACAGAGCAGGCATAGAACAGACAGAGCAGGCATAGAACAGTCAGAGCAGGCACAGAACAGACAGAGCAGGCAAAGAACACACAGAGCAGGCAAAGAACAGACAGAGCAGGCATAGAACAGACAGAACAGGAATAGAACAGGCTGAGCAGGCATAAAACAGGCAGAGCAGGCATAGAATTGGCAGAGCAGGCATAGAACAGACAGAGCAGGCATAGAACAGACAGAAGCAGGCATAGAACAGACAGAGCAGCAGGCATAGAACAGACAGAACAGGAATAGAACAGGCTGAGCAGGCATAAAACAGGCAGAGCAGGCATAGAATTGGCAGAGCAGGCATAGAACAGACAGAGCAGGCATAGAACAGACAGAATAGGCATAGAACAGACAGAGCAGGCGAAGAACAGACAGAGCAGGCATAGAAGAGACAATGCAGGCACAGAAAAGAGAGAGCAGGCGCAGAACAGGCAGAGCAGGCATAGAACAGACAGAACAGGCATAGAGCAGACAGAGCAGGCAAATAACAGACAGAGCAGGCATAGAACAGACAGAGCAGGCACAGAAAAGACAGAGCAGGCGCGGAACAGGCAGTGCAGGCACAGAACAGTCAGAGCAGGCAAAGAACAGACGAGCAGGCACAGAACAGTCAGAGCAGGCAAAGAACAGACAGAGCAGGTACAGAACAGACAGAGCAGGCACAGAACAGTCAGAGCAGGCATAGAACAGACAGAGCTGTTTCAGAACAGACAGAGCAGGCACAGAACAGGCAGAGCAGGCACAGAACAGGCAGAGCAGGCACAGAACAGATAGAGCAGGAACAGAACAGACAGAGCAGGAACATAACAGACAAAGCAGGCACAGAACAGGCAGANAACAGGCAGAGCGGGAACATAACAGGCACTATATATAAGCAGGCACAGATTTCGTCTCTACTGCAGACATTTCAGCTCTTCTTCTGCTATGTCAGTCCCATAGGCGTTGACGGCCAGCTCTGATTCCGGCCGTAAATCTTACCTAAACTCAAATATTCGCCATTGATTAACGATCAAACAGTACACGAAATAGACGTGTAGTTACGAATGTATCCTTAATTGTCTTCGTCGGCAACGCGTCTTGATCTGTAATGTTTGAGCAGGGGATAAAAAGGCGTGTGAATTGAACGCATTTATTGCTGTCACGAATATATTATGAGACCTACAGCAACATAAGAGATAAGTGCCAGATGAGTAGAATGCTCGTCGGGTACGACTCGATTACATAAAGCGTGTGGCGAGTAAGACATGAGTACGTGAATAATGCGCCGCCTGATTTGTTTAAAAGCGGGCATCAGGAAGGTGCGGTGAATACCAGGGCACGGAAGGAGGGAGTTAATTAAACTCTAATTGGCAGTGCATTCATGAGCAACAACTGCCCCAGTACGGCAGCACATTAATGGGTGACATTTGTCCCATTACAGCAGCGCATGAATGGGCGGCAATTGCCTCATTACGGCAGCGCATGAATGGGCGGCAAGTGCCTCATTACGGCAGCGCATGAATGGGCGGCAAGTGCCTCATTACGGTTGTGCATGAAGGGGTGGGAATTGCTGCATTACATCACGCCAATTACGGTCATTACGACCAAGTAAACGATCAAATTTAGGGAATTGAGCCCCAAAGCCGGGGACTGCAGGGAAGGAATGTAAATTAAACGCTAGAATTTTACCCAAACACAATTGTTTATTGTCTCAGTCGAATCAATTAATACCTTATTACGCTCGTATAAAACCAACACAAAATCTGTGCCAAACTATAAGAAAACCACTCAAAATCAAAGTAGCGATCGAACAGCGGACGTGGCAGATTGTTCATTTGGACAAATTGAATCTAAACCAAACACAGAACGAATAACGACAAATTTATCCTAAAAACTTCAACTATATACAACATGTAGCGAAAACATCTACACATATTACATAATATGGTTACTTCGAATAGGATCTGTACAGGATCTCAACCCGATGCATGTTATATGAAAAAATACGAATCGTTGTCTTTTGCGAGCTGGAAATAAATTCATTAACTATTGCCTTTCCGTAAGTTGTGCCATCACTTCACACTCTAAAGTAACGGCACTCGTGCGTGGCATCACCACTTCACACAGCTAAAGTAACAAGGATTTAGGAGTTAATATCGACAATGAGTTGAAATTTTCTCAGCATATTGAAGGTCAAGTTAATAAAGCCAATAAACGACTTGGACTGATCAGACGCTCTTTCCAGTTCCTAGATTTAGAAACCATGAAGCAGTTGTTTGTTGCTGTCGTGCGCCCGAACCTAGAGTTTGGAAACGTTGTGTGGTCACCGAAATTTGAAAAGGACAAAAATTTAGTAGGGAGTGTTTAAAGACGCGCAACAAGGAAAGTTCCGGGCTTGAAAGGCAAGTCCTATATGAGGAAAGATTAAAGATTATGAAGCTTCCAAGCCTCCGTTATCGACGTCTGCGTGGGGACCTCATTGAAGTATACAAGTATACCCATGGCTTATACAAGGTCCCAGAAGGATTACTAGAATTTGAAACAAGAACCAACACCAGGGGCCACGGCTATAAGCTAAAAAAACAGCGTTGGAACACATCCATGCGACAACATTTCTTCTCGCTTCGAGTCACCGACATGTGGAACAGCCTCCCTGATAGATGGCATCACCACTTCACACAGCTAAAGTAACAGCACTCGTGCATGGCATCACCACTTCACACAGCTAAAGTAACAGCACTTGTGCATGGCATCACACAATAAGCGAGATACAATGGGTGGCATCTCATCACGTCTTCAAGGTTGCCAAAAGTCCAGCGTTGCCCACACCCCGTAAGCCCCATCTTTTTCTATGAGGTATTTCTGATTATTTCTGCATATATTTTCTATCACTGTTCATATAACGCCGCGTCTAAGTCACATCCCTCTCCGAGGCGCAGTCACATCCCTCTCTGAGGCGCAGTCACATCCCTCTCTGAGGCGCAGTCACAACTAAGTTCAAAAATATGACTTCAGAAGAATATAAATTTTAGTTTGTGTGGAATTGTAATCCCCCGCTCGAGGTGAAGGCTGCGGTGATCATGTATGTGATGTTGCTGAGATGGGGGGACGCGTGGGGTGACGATGGGGGCAAATATTCACGAACTAATTGTGCAAGAATTCACGAACTAATTGTGCCCTGTTTGCACAATTATTTCGTGAATAGGAAGAAGAACCCCGCCTTGAAGGTCTTGGCCAGCGCCTGGCCTCGCAGAGTGAATGTTGTATTGCCACTTCCGCTCTGCAGGGAACAGTCACATTAAGTCGTGTTTAGAGCGACACTGTGTTATTGTCCTCAATAAAAGGCAACGCTGGCCTAGGATCATTAGGTCTACAGTTTACATTAACTTTATATGCATTATATGCATTATTTATATAATATAGTTTGCGGGTAAATTATTAATCATAGAGGGTTTAGAAAAAAAATCATTATTATAATTTTTGTATTTACTGACGATACTTAAGGAACGGAAACCAAATTATTCAATTCGGCTCGATTGAGTTTGATTGCATGGAGGCTGAGGAAATGGACTTCCTCGTGCGGATTTAGTGGAGGTAAATTATTAAATTGTGCCGACACTAGGACTGAAGTGCAGAAGGACCCTCTGGGAGTTACGATGAATGAGTTTAATTCAAGACATCGGTGCGATTTATCGTGAACTATTATGTCATATTTCTTCTGGAAAGAGTTACAAGAAAACCTAATCGAAAAAAAAAACTTAATTGACATGGACACCAAAACCCTCCCTTTCACTGACCACACCATCGCTGCACATGTCGGCGTCGAGCGTGGTACCGTAAGTAGCGCGCAGCATGTAGCCGTCGCAGGCTGCGGCAGCGCCCTTGAAGTGTGCTCCAGTAAAGGTAAAGTAAAGAGAAGTTGATGTGAAAGTAACGGTGCAGTCGTAGGATGGACCGTCTGGGAATGCCTTGCACCCGAATCCAGGGTGTGAGTACACAACAACGTATTGTGACTTGGAGATGTCAGCCGTAAGTTCAATGGTCTTGCCGCATTCGTTCACTGCGGAGACAAATTAGTGAAATGATCTCGGTGTGACTGAATACAATTTATTACTCTTTTTCTATGACATGGAAAGGAAAATTAGACTGAGTTTGCTGCTCACGACTACAGCTTAGCCTGGGCAGAGAGCACAACGTGTTGGCAGCATTGATCACTTGGCAGCGCTTCATCTCACACTTCAGTAAGCCCGAGTAAAATTTGCTATAATGAAACGGGTTTGGTATAATGATTGCATCGCCTCGTGTTGACTCACATCGTCAGGTATCGGCTGAGGCCAAGCAAGGACACATCAAAGTAATTATCTGGCATACCAACCTCACCAAATGCTCTCAATGCCGCGTAGTGTAGCGCGCAAGACGCTAAATGATGTAGATGTGACGTATGGGTATATAATGGCACAGAACTGATTATTATTACATTATAATTTAGTTAAGGCTAATATTTACATTCACATCGCTCAAGTGGTGACAAGAACGTAGAAAATTAGTGAAACGAATAAATAATGTATAATTAATAAAAAAGTAATAATATTGAATAAATGATTAATCATTTTAATTGATAATATAATCAGTGCATGGCGAGAAAAAATTCAGAATTTTCTTTCTATGTACATGAAATGCAGACTTGAGCACTGCAATTTCATGCTTAGGAGCTGCTATATAGTCTCCAGATCCACAATGAGCTACACCTGCTATAAAAAATATAAACTATGGCAGTTGTACAATTTGAAAAAAATCATCTGGGAAATCATAATTGTTTTATCTCATTTACCTCTTCACTGTAAATGACGTAAGGTTTTTGGGACAATATTTGCCACTGCGGTACGCATTATTCAACACGGTAGAAAATTTCATACCGAAAAATTTTCCATAAATATTTTTTAATGCACGGTGCAGAAGAAAGTGATAATAATATCAGCAAATATATATAATTAAACTTAATGCAGTCCCACAGAACGAGCTCGGTTAGCGAGTTTATTACCAGTGGCTAGGGCAGCACAACTCAGCACATTCCAGAGCTGAAAGTATCGTGGTTGTAAGAGCTTTAAGTGTTTATTTCAGATCGAACTGAACTTGTTCTGTATTTGGTGGCTAAAATAATACGACAACGACTATCAATTATATATGGAATCGATTGTCATTTAAATACTAGTACAATTATATATATGATCAATTTGAAATTATGTAGTACTTATGAATGATATACTTGAAAAGAATCATTTCATGGTTAGAGGGCTGTGTGCCAACATGCCCGTGCTATATTGGAGCTTTTATCCACAATGCCTAAAGTGTGGAGAAATCAAGGGGTCTTGACGTAGATTATACTTTAGTTAAAATACCGAACACTCTGCGTGACTGATACTCACGCAGGTAGTAAGTTGGAAACGTTCCGTTGGCGAGGACAGGTAATCCGCATGGAGAGTCGGTGACGCAAGAAGCCAAGTCCAGTTCGAATTTTCCAGAACTTCTGTAGGTGCCATCGTCTTGAGGAAAGAAGTAGAATAACGCTGCTGCCACTGGGTCTGGCGGGATTAAATGAATTAGTGGATTTGATGACTCTTCAATTGGTGCATTTCGGTGCTAAGATCCTGGGATGGACAAGCTGTGGTCGGCAGTTTTGAGGTGATAGGTCAAGGTCTCTATAGCGAGCTTCGTTGCTTGGAGAAAGCTGTGACAAGAACTTTGCATCGATAAATGCCAAAGAAATTACCTTAGAAATATAGAGTGCTCGCAAAAATGTCCTCAAAAAGTACTTTGAGTTATATGTTTTCCATTACAATTCTAATGAAAGGCATGACACTGCAGATTGAACTGTCTAACGCCTACACTAAATAGTAGGAACAAAAAAAAACGGCGCGCATCTTCGGCAAGCGAGAATAGATATCACACATAAGGGCGCATCATAATAGAGATCAAGGGCTCATCATAGTAGAGATAAAGGGCTCATCATAAAAGAGATTGAGGGTTCATCATATATTAGAGATAAAGGGCTCATCATAATAGAGATCTACGGTTCATCATCATAGAAGAGATAAAGGGCGCATCATATGAGAGGGGGCGCATCATAATAGAGATCAAGGGCTAATCATAGTAGTGATAAAGGGCTCCTCAAAATAGGGATCGAAGGTTTCACCGATGATAAAAATAGTTTTGTGCACTAGTAATTTTTATTCCAATTAAGCTCCGAGTGTCTTTTTAACACGTTAACTCCGAAGATGTTCATATACGTGTCACGAATTGTATTTCTCTTGGACGTAGTGGTACATATAATTCCGGATCGCAAGATATGGCCTAAAAACGCAATGCCCTGGAACAATGAAGGCCTAAAAAATCCTATAACTCAATATGTACTATGTACTAGTATATTTGTAGGTTCCGGTGTAACAATTCCATTTCTTTTTTTGCAGGTTTTAAAATTTAATTTGAAAGTACCATTTTCATTAATTATAGCCGACCACCGCAATTGAAAAAAACTAAATCGCAGAATTTTCCCGCATAAAAATACCGTTTGGCAACCCTGTTCAAAATAGAACATAAATTGAAATAATAGTTCAGGATGAAGTAATCGGGCTCAACGTGTTAGATATGTATTTATGATCGCAAATGATATAACGGGGGAAAATTTTTCGATCATAACTTATTAGTGTCGAGAACGTTGAGTTACCTATAATGATTTTATTATGATTAGTTGAAACGTCAAATAGAAAGATTATTTATGAAACTCTGATTAAAGTTTTAAATAGAAGCAAGACGACTTCATCAAAAAACTGGTGTCTCACACTAAGGTTGAAAGAATGAAGAAAATTCTGTTCTGTCGACACCCCATTACACGCGGACTTATGGCTTAACTTGAGATTCGTTTGAAAAAACAAATATTCATTCGGTAATATCATCTTGGCCAGTATGTGATTTTGTTCCCAACCATCGCGATCACAGGAGTGCCGAGTGTGGAGCAAAGAATCATGGTAACAAATATGAGAAAAAATATGGTTTCTTAACAGTGACTAGTATTCAGAAAGAGAAGTTTAGCTGGACTCGTGAGGGAGAGGATAGATGAATTTTGTCCTATTTGGCAAATGGTAATTGCATCACGAATTATTGTCAACTTACCGTCAAGTGTCGATATAATTTGGCTTTGAATGACATCCGAAAAGAAATTCACAAGCGTGTACTGCTTATATCTGGTGTTCCCAATCGTGACGTTGACGTAGGGAGCAGCGCCTGTTGAAGTTCGCTTTTTTAAATATTTCATAAATAAAGGCAAGCTGCCAGCGAGAAATGCGGTTAGCATGGCCAGTACACGACAATACAAAACATCCTACGTATCCTCGAACGTCCTGCTTGCCTTCTAGCCGCGCTAGTTGCCACGTCACCAGATAAGCCGCACTAGATAATCGCCTCAGAATTGGCCAATTTTCTGATCGTACAGTCGCACGCACTCTGCCGAATCGAAGAGCTGAAGGCTTGGACATGTGAGGTCTGTCAAACCTATTTTAAGCGATCAATCAAATTTCCAGTTTAATGAAGTACGCAAAGACTGTATCACTTTACCGTTTGAGTATCATGCCTAAAACTATTCGTTGTCGTCAGATTTTTATAGATTCGTCTATGAATCTCCACTCGCGTCAATGCAGAAAGTGGAAGCCAATTGTCAATAATTATTCGCGTCAGCACAGAACATGCATGAAAATATCGTAATTAGTCCTGTACTTACCAAAACTTCCTAGAATTAAATATCACTGTAATCTGCATGTGATTTCTTAATATTGTCATTATAAAACCTTTTCCATAATGATATTCGAGACCAACATCAAGCCGCTCGATCGCGACCGTCAACAAGCCTCGCTTGACCAACAGTAAGCCGCTCGAGACCAACATAAAGTTCCAACCCACTTATGAGCTACACAAAACCGCTCTGTAAGCCTATCTTGATCAACGTCAAGCCATTCTTCACCAACATCAAGCTGCTCTCAACCAGACCTGAAAATTTTTCTAATAACATCTTACTTTGCTCTTGAAGTAAAAATCAACAGCGTTAGTGCTGCAAACGGTAGCTAAAGGCTCTTTCAAACAGCAGATATTCACGCGACACGGGCGCATGCTCAACCGTGCTGATGTGCGTCCACAAGATGCTCGACTGTATACAAGATGCGCGTCCACAAGATGCTCGACTGTATACAAGATGCGCGTCCACAAGATGCTCGACTGTATACAAGATGCGCGTCCACAAGATGCTCGACTGTATACAAGATGCGCGTCCACAAGATGCTCGATTGTATACAAGATGCGCGTCCACAAGATGCTCTACTGTATACAAGATGCGCGTCCACAAGATGCTTGACTGTATACAAGATGCGCGTCCACGAGATGCGCGACTGATGCACAACATCACTACTCATATGCTCGTATTCACCAACTGTCAAGACATTAGTAAAAATTATAAACAAATACTGATTTGCAGGAACACGTGTGAATGTTTACGTAGTCAGGCGCATACCTGCAAAGGCGCGCTCACTTACATTCACTTGAACATTAAACAGAGATACTGTACCTCCTGACCTAAACTCCCCACACGCTCACTTTTATAAACACATGAGCATTAAACGGAGATACGACATGACCCAAACTCCCCCAATCGCTTATATACTGATGTAAACAAACCTCCCACACACATATAGGTATATTAAAGAAGCACACACAAGTAGCTGCCCTAACACTCAATACACTTATAGCGCAAAACACAGCACACAACGCTTACAAACAGAGCCATCCGACAGGTCCTGTTTGCAGTTACAGGCGGGGTTCGGACTTAGTGCGGGAGCTGGGCTTTGTGGGGGAGTTGGGCTTTATGAAGGGTCTGACTGGAATGGTAGGCTGCGTACGAGGATTGGACATTGCGCGAAGGTTGTAATCGAGGTTGGGTTCTAGGATTTAGTTTCACTATATAGCGCAGTGATTAGCGCAACTGTTTGTGTGATGGCAGTGGCATCGAAAAGAGTGGAGCTAGCCGTGGGTCCGAGCATTGGAAAGATCAGTTCATTTGCCGTTATCGCTGGCGGGCGGAGCTTGGTAGCCGTCAAAGCTGGTCCTTGTAGCATGCCTTGGGTTGATGTCACTAAATGAACTCATCGTTCTTGATGCCTTATAGGGAGACTTTGAGGTCCTATAATATATTTATGCAAGGAATTTAAAAGCAAAGAAAACGCCAAGAAAATTCACCATATCGATATTGAAAACGTTTCGGAGTCCAGCTCCATCATCAGTTCGACTAAACTAAAAATGAATAAAATCACTTTAAAAGTCAAAATTCAAAGACAGACATAAAACCTAAACAAGACCTAACATTATATAGCGGACAGAAGTGGAAGTCTTTGCTCCACAACTCAGCGGGCCAGGGCGGCCTGTAACCACGTTGACCTGCGGATGAACGTGTGCGAGTTACTCCCTCGCTGTGGGTGGGTTTTATTGCTAATTGAGTTCCTCGCTGCAAGCAGCTAGACGGCTGAGTTCATGCAGTTCTAGTTTAGAGTAGCCGAGCTGACCCAGGAGCTGTAAGACTGGGCATTGATCTAATCGGCAAGCGTTGCACATTACCCGATTTGAAGTCGCCGTTTACGCTCAATTTTCATAAGAAAGATATGTGACGAACTAATCTTGAATCCCCGAATAACTAATTAATCGCGTCACCTCAGAAATTCGGATGGTTCAATTGTCACGTCCACCAATGACCGGAAATTTAATGCAACTTCCCTATTGGCCAAATCAGCATAAAGCTTGGACCGAGCGGATAGTCAACTCAAACAAACGTTTTAAATTTATTAAAGATAAACGGCAAATTAAACTAAGCAAATCAAACTAACCATGTTACAGAGGTGCGGCATATGCGTTAAACGAACATAAATTAAATGCGGAGGAAGCTAAAGTGCGAAGAGAGCAAAATGCGAGGAGAGAGCTTACGCATGGAGATCTAAGAAAACGCACGATCCTACAACAGAAAACAGAAAGTAAATATCTACGCATGACAAGTCGTTATATACACAAATTATATACACAAAAATCACTATATTCCATCAAGTATTCCAAGCTAAATTTCACCACCATAGCACGCAACTCACCCTGGCGTCTGAGTCCAAATCCTATAAGAGAGGAACCAGGACGCAAGTCGGGATCGGCATTGTATCTGACGGCTATACTCAATTTAACACCCACGTCAGAGTCGGTCCTACTTAAACTTCGTAGTCTGACATACAGTAGTGGGAAATTTGCAGCAACACTTCATTAGAAGATATCAGTTTTGTTCTAATCATACCTTTCAGATGGATCACTCGGTACTAAGTACGTCGTTTGATATAACAAAAAATGAGGACGACGTTTTTGCTTCATTCCAAGGTAACCAAAATCTTCATTATCAACAGTATAAATAGGTAAAAATTGGCACGAAAAATTACAGAACATGGCTACGGCTGTTGTACTCACGCTGTCAGGATACGAAGCCGTGGCGAGTCCAAGGCCCAACACCTGCAACACAAAAAGCGCTATGATGTCAAATAGAGACAAATGCCCGCAGAAACTGCTCAAGATAAACCAGCATGAAGAGGAAGATTCGTGAAGCTTTTGGTGGACAGATTATTATGTTCGGCGGGGGTACATTTTGTCGTTATTGTAAAGCTGCTAATTATTGATTCTACAGTTGCAGAATCTCATCCAACTACATGGATAGAAGTAACATATTAAAGGTAAAAATCGTTGTAAACCTCATACAAATGTGTCCAAGATCACTCAATCTCTTTTCGAGAAGACTTTCTGTATTGGTTAGCAGCTGGCAAGACTGACATCAAAGAGGCAGGTTCATTTACTTACAACTACGATGAAAGCAAATCAATCCAGCTGGTGCATTACTAGCGAAAAGAAAACACAGATATTGCACAAGTACAAGAGAAATTAAAAATAGCTTATCGATCTTGTTTCTCATTCATAATTGTGACCTCACATGCCCATTGCCTTTCATAAACACTAGCAGATGATCCTGGCGCTGCTCGGGGTAGATACGTATATATAAATGTGCTTTGAGAATCTCGTTATCAAACCATCTCAACCGAATCAAATCCATTATCAACAATGAGCTCTAATTAAAACGCAAGTTTTAAAACAGTAATAATATTTTCAAGATAATTAATAAAAGCTCCTGAGTTTTTGATAACCATTACTCTACGTGATTAACCCCTGCTGGAGCAGGAGGACTCAAAGCGCTCGCATGATGTCTCATTTACTTCAATGAAAAACGAAATTTATAACTGCAATTAAGTGAAGATTATTGATGAAATGAGACTCAATTTCCCGTGCAGACCATCTTAATGAAACAGTGACATCCGTAATTGGTGATCAAGACTAGTCTCTTGATAACTATGGGAATCTTTTTTAGTGATCATACGATGACAGCACGACCACTATAATGCTTTCGTCACCACCAAATTTCAGGAATATAATCGCGGAATATAATTCCACTACACTCGAATTTTTTTTCCGTGACCGAAAAAACTGCTTGCCACCTTATGTACCGCGTGCGGCTAAAGTGAACTTAAGTTGCGTATTAAATGGTGAATATTAAGTTCAAGATATATTTGAAAGATTTGAAAGTCTTAGAAACTGGATCAAATTTGCAAAGAATTGAATTTAGTTCAGCGATATTTTCTGGAAGTCTTTAAACGAAATTTTCAAAACCAGCAAGACCAAAAATCTTTCCCAAACAAATAATTTTGGTTCTTCATCATATGAGGAGATGAGGAGTTTGTGTCAGTCTCAAATTACATAGTGAAATTTCAGCCACCAAATTCCGTCGTACACATCGGCCTGTTTTGCCGACGGTAGGCGGTAAGCATAGTTACCAAAACGAGCTGATTGTCATTCCCACTTCGATTATCCGCGGTGGGCGTCGGATAAGAGTTAGTTTCGCGAGCAGCACAATTCAACTACAGCTGCCCCACTATGCAGTGACTATGTGAAATGAGGTGAAAACCCAGTGGCACTACAGAGAGGACATCTCGACGTCGGTCATGGTAATAATTAGCCCTGACATGGCAAGCAGAATGGATTCAAGCCAATGGACCAGTAGTTATGATAGGAACGGAGCTGCTTCGATAAAAGCACCGTAAAATGAGGAGTCTGCCAATACCGAGGGGACCTTCCAACGGATAAAGCGACAAAATATGGAGATTGAGAGTTAACCTACCAGGGGCCGGATTATCAAAACTTCGTAACTTTTTGTAGTTACGACAAAAAAGTAATGTGGTACGTAAAAACACTCTAATTTTGGCATTATCAAAATTTTCGTACGCAAGTCTTAGCTAAAAGCGTAAATGTTTTTCCCGCTCAAATGTTTTTAAAATACCACCGCTAGTATTATGTTGTCATAGCAACGCCACTCGTAAGTCGATTTTGCGTACTTAGGAAGTTTTGATAATACGGCCCCAGGCAATGATTTGTGACACATATGTAGCTGCGTCTGAGGATTGAGATCTCGGGTGGATAAACAGCAACATTTAGTTAAGCATTCCACACAGGCTGTTGGGAAGAGAGAGCCAAGCTGACATTTGCTGAAGCCGAGCTGATATATGCTAGGGCCGAGCTGACTGCTGCTGGAACTAAGCTGACTGCTGCTGGATCCAAGGAGACAGCTTTTGGAGCCAAGCTGACTGGAGCTGATAAACGTGGACCAAATTCACAAATACCTACGATAAATGTCTCAACAGCCACAACGACCACAGCACATTAGCCGCCAACTGACCATACGGCAATCAAAAAACACAAAATAAACAACAATCACAACAGAAGACTATCAAACACAAAACCAACCAAACATATCTCGGAAAAGCCAAACAAGATAATAAAGCAAACAAACATTCCACAATACAACCTTACATTGGCAGAGAAGACGCAACTTAAACAGACCGCAAGACCATATCGCCAGCCTCTCCCGACAGGAGGTGTTCGGCAGCATACTAACCAAATAATTGAAGACTAACTATGATATTGACGCGACTTTACCCGACAGAGACTCCACCAAAATATTCAACTTTTTTATAACCAACCTGAAACCTAGACTCCGGACATAGACTTCAACCTCCAAACGGAATTTAGTGACGATAACGACATGAGATGGTCCTCACTAAACTTGCCAGAGAGGCCAAGAGATCTCTCAGAACGTGCCTCCCGCCGACAACCAAAATCCATTACGAAGAATGCGATCCCAGGGAACGTAGTAAGTGATGAACAATGCGGAGAATCACCCATTTAACTGCCAGGACAAGACGAATTAACCGCTGTTAGACTATTTAGAAGCAACAGAGACACCAACCCAATACCTGCCATTACGCAACAGCTGGTACCTTAACGAGCTGAGAAAGAACGAATTCCGACTGAAGCTCTCAGTGAAAGAACTAGGCTCCTCGAAAATTATCGACTATTTGAGACAAGACTAATTTAAATTCCAAAAGCCCACAGTCAACATCATAGAGCTCAACAGACAACTCATCGCCATAAGTCAGCAACTACCGACAACATACAGACGTATCCAAATACAAACATGGTAGAACGTCATTAGCACACAAAAACACAAAAAGATCCCCAAAAGTTCTGTTCATCCCTATAACACATGATAGGCTCCAACACCAAGCA